CATGATGTACCTTGTGTGTGTGAAGTTTGAACTCGATCAATCCAAGCATGTCTCAGATACGGATCCAGAACTGAATTCTTTAAAACAAAATGGCCGCCAGTCGGCCATTTCGAACCCGATCCAAAAAAAAAAAATGACGTGCATCAAGGTCCTATTATGTTTAATGTATGTACCAAATTTGAACAAAATCCGTCCATGCATAACTGAGATCCGGGTCCGGAATGGTGAAAATGTGCGATTTTGATGCATTTTCGGCCTTAAAATGGCCGCTATTCGGCTATCGTTAATGAGATCATGAAAAAAATGCATGTGCATATGTCCCATATAATGTGTGATGTATGAGTGAAGTTTGAACTTAATCGGTCCATGCATGTTCGAGATACAGGTGATCACGGACGCACGGACGCACGGACGCACACAGGGCAAAACATAAGTCCCCTTTTTCGGACTGCGTCCGAACGGGGACTAACAACAAATACAAAGGGAAGCAATGTCACTTTGATTTCTTAATAAGGATTTTTCAGAATTCAATTTTGTTCTAGAATATTGTTACTTTACAGTCTTAAGTATGAAGTTTATATTAATACTTGAACGCAATAATATTTTGCACAGTTTTGAACCAAGATCTAATTATTTACAGGTTTTTTTCACATTTTTTGAAAAATGTTGTTGAACAAATTTAATGCAGGTTTAATCAGTGAATGAAACAATAGTTGACTACAAATGTATACTCTTTGTAAAAGATGATGAGCAATTGCCTTCAACATAAATAGCAGACCACATCCTATAGCGTGGCTCTCAAATAAACACATGAACATCTTATTCATTAAAGGGTACACATTGTTGTCAGACTAACTATGCAAATGCTGACATAGCTGGTTTAAATCAGCTCAGATGAGGTTATTTTGAAAATGAATCAATGTTATTCATTAATTGGTTGTGTTAGTATTTGAAACATGCTATAAAAATGTGTTTGTACTAGAATGGTAATTTACAAAAAAATACAATGTTTTATTTTAAAAGTAAAACAAAAGCATTCTTGTTGTGATGAAATAATGACACATGAAGCACTAGTGTATACCGGTAAGTGGGATCAGCTGCTCAATTCCTGGCATGTTCGTATCACAATATCATGATGTCTTCCCTATAAAATATTAGGGTCATGTGTCACAAAACTGGAAGCCATTTTTTTCTCGATGATAGTGTTTTTTTTATATTGAAGAGGGGCAGTTAATTTTTTTAAAGAAAACTGTCAATAAATCGGAGCAAAAATGTATTAGAAATCTGATTTCAGCAGAAAAATAGTGAATTCAGACACACAGATATGCAAGTGCATAACTCAAAAAACAATTGCTGGTTTGAGAGTAATACATGGGTATCTGAAAGCATCAACATGGGCATAGTGGTTTGTACAGATTCAATTATAAATATGGTACACTTTGATACAATGGTATATTGTATTATTATGATTATTGTTTTTTTCAAGAATATCCAGAAATCTATGCTGACCTGGCACTTGATTCAAATTTCGCAAATGAAAGAAACAATAGTAAAATGTAAACTTCATGTACATGTACCATACAAGTGGTTTCAGATTCATTAAATTTCAAAATTCTAAATCCAGGGATAAATATTACACTCATGTAATAAATGTACAGGGTAATTACAGTATTATTTTTTTTAAATGGTGTCAGATTATTATGAAAAATAATTATTAATTAAGTGTGTTCAATTAGGCAATATTTAAAAAAAATAGTAAAAAAATTAATTTAAATTGTTTTGATCAAAGCACATGCTGTTGCACAGTTCTTAAAATTGGTTAAAATGTACAATTAAATTAGAAGAAACTTATTCACAGGACATCAAGTTCATAATAAATCCCTTCAGAAGTCGCAAATAATTAGAGGTAATTCATTCTTCATAGAACAAGTGTAACGAAAAGAAATATCACAACAGCTTGTAGTTATTCTATGATATTTTGTTTAAGCACAAGAAATAAACATGGAACGAGTACTGTATGCTAAAAATGTGATCATGAAAACTTATTTAAAAAAACTGTGGCTAAAATATGGCAGTTCTTCACATCTGTATCATTACATATATATATATTTCATATGTATAAGACTAAATCGGCATACCGGTACAACCGGGTCAAACAGCCTTTAGTGTCGTGACAACGAATTACAGTTATGCAGTAAATAAATATGATGAAACTAATTCTTGGTTTAACAACATTTGCTAAAAGTAACACTCGGAAAACACAATGGCAGTAACATGTGCACTATAATAAACTCTTCAGTGAAACATACACACTTATTATTTAAAATACATCACTATATAAGCTAAGACATTTCTAGGTTGGTGCTGCCTCATGGAACACGGACCAGATAGAAGGCTTCTTTCAGCAAAGCACTAAACATTCCAGCAAATTTGTTCTAGATCAGTGTGTTACAAATCTTTTTTAAACAAAATCAAGATATAACTGGTGATCTGAAGCCACCTTTGTAAGTACATGAAGTGTTTTTAGACTCAATACCAGTGCTTCCATGATCTGAAAGTTCACAGACCATCCCAACAATCTACTGTTTGTTATAGCTACACAGTTTTGAGAAATCATATTCTTCAAAATAAAGCAATAAACAACAAAACAGTGATTCAAACCTGTGCCTCTGAATCAAGCTCTTAGCAATACCATTCCAATTCAGACTGACTTGCTGCTCTGTTGGCAGTGCACAAAATGACTTTCAATAAGTTCACTGTGCAAAATTACACAAAATGGTAAATTTCCACTGTAAATTCACACCATGTTCTCTTCCACTGTAACTTTTTCTGTTGGATTTCTCCTTATATTCTTTATCCTAGTATGTAACTGTAATAGTGAAGGTAATGTTGGATTGTCTGCTCCATTCAGCGACTGTGGAGAGTGAGGTGGACTGTCCGTCCGGCCGTTTTTCTTTTCTTCGTTGCCAGCTTTTCCACCTTTTTTCACCTGCCTCAAAGTCCTTCGTTTCTAGAATCAAGGAAAGCGACTTTAATTAGTACTTTTATTAGTTATTTTATTGGTACAGCCAGATTCGGGTTCAACTTAGTGTACTCAGCACAACCATTATACAATCGCTGTGCATTTAATTGTCAGACGTTAAATTATTAAATTTAAAAGCTAAATACCAAAGATGCATTTAACTAAATATATGGCCCAAGCTCTATCTTTGAGTGAAGGAACATAATAAAAGTGAAAATGACAAAGGAGAATGATGCATGTAATGGTGGTGTGTCGGCAAAAAATAACTGTCTGTCTGTTACGGATTTGCAGAAATAATAGATATAAAAATGGAGAAAAACTCGGATCTAGCAAAGTACTACGAAACTCGTTAGATTTGTGTCATAAACACTGTTAAATGTAAATACATAAAACATGCACTTGGTTTGACCATAGACCTATTACTAAGCGCATGTGCTACTAATAGAGCAAAGTGTCATCAATGTAATCCTATATCATATGCAATAATTCTATAATTTGGTGGATTACTATTGACATATACCGGTATTACTGATGATCAGAGAAGAAAAATACAAACTGACAACTTAAGTCTCACAAAATTTACTATTAAACTGCGATTTGTTATCAAAACTAATAAATCTATCAATTGTTAGAATATAACAAATAGTACTCAAATACTACATTGAAGCATACATGTTTTTGATGTCATTTTTTGACTAATTGTTTTAAATTGGCAGTGTGAAATACCATCATCTTACTTTACATTAAAAACAGCATAAGTTTAACTATTTATTTAACCTTGTCAGATTTTTTTCTTTGATTAATAATTTAATCTACCAGCACGGTAATCGTATCTGGAGGGATATTTTCAAGATTGTGAAGAAAATAAAACATTCCAGTGTTAAATTTGAATATTAAGGAGTAGTGGTCGTCACCATTTTTGTTCATTGGAGACCCATATATCCTGCGCCCTTTAAATTACGGTTTAGAGATATCAGGAAACTAAGTCTAACCAATAATTGAGTCCTACACAGTACATGGAACAATAAATCACATACAAATTTCACTGATAAGGCATGCCCCATGAGTTCAACACAGAACTCACCTCTACATTTCCTCTCCACTTCTCTGCTGCAGCCTTAGCAAGTTTAATCTGTTTTTCTTTCATGTCCTGATGTCTTTTGTAAAATATCTCTATGTACACAAGGAAGACACCAGCAATTATACCACCAGCTACAAGAATGAAAACACCTGAAAAATACAAATGCACATTTCAAATATTACACCTTGATGAACTCAGGATCAAGATGAGTAGTATAACTAATTTTAAGCATAAATCAAAGAAAGCTTAGAAAGAACTCCTGTGTGCTGAGAGTATTGGAGACACTTTAAAAATTAATTCAAAATTACCTGAACTTGAGATATTGATGGAAAAGCTTATGCAAATAAGGTAACTAATATGAACAAATTTAAGTGTAAAACTAATAAGATCTGCATAATGTAATATCTATGTAAAAATTATTAATTATTATGTTAATTAGAGAATTAATATAAACAGATTTTAACCCAAAATTAATCAGGCTGCCTATTGTCCTAGAGAATTTATGTACCAAGTTTTATTCAAATGTGATTATCAGTACTTGAGATACCAGTATTAATTAATTATGTTAATTAGGTGATTAAGAAGCATAAATATTTACCAAAACCTAATATGGTGTACAGTCCTAGGTTCATTGAAATGTGATGATGAGTACTCTTTAAAAGTGTCATTAAAATCCAATGAGTGGTTCTTTAGACATCAGGCACGGAACAGCAAAAAATTAACTAATTATGCAAATTAGGTAATTAATATGCATAATTATTTACCCCAAAATTAATCAGGTCTCTGCATAGTCCGAGAAGTACTATGTCGCAAGTCTCATTGAAATGTGATGATTAGTACTACAGATATCAGGTGAAAAACTGAAAATTAACTAATTATGCTAATAAGGTGATTAATATGCACAAATATTTACCCCAAAACTAATTAGGTTTCTGCACAGTCCTCAAGTAACTATGTACCAGGTTTCATTGAAATGTGATCATTACTACTTGAAATATCAAAAGCTGAAAATTAATTAATTATGCAAAGTTGGTAATTAATATGTACTGATATTATCTTAAAAACTATCAGGTCTGTGAAGTGTCATATGACATCTATGTACCAAGTTTTATTGAAATGATATGATTAATACTTGAGATATCAGTGGAAGAGCCGAAAATTGATTAATCATTATGCAAATTAGGTAACTAATATAAACAGATTTTTACCCAAAACTAATCAAATCTGTGCATTAGTTCAGAGAATCTATTTGCCAAGTTTCATCAAAATCCAATGAGTGGTTCTTCAGATATCAGTGGAACAGTCATGGAACAGCTAAAAATCAGCTAATTATTATGCAAATTAGGTAATTAATATTCCCATGAATCAAAACCTAATCAACTCTGCGCATTATCCCAGAGCATCTATGCACCAAGTTTCATCAAAATTATACAGACAGGGTAGCTGCAAAGACTCCCTTTTGTGCTTCACACACAGTTGAAAATATATTTAAACTAATGAAGCCTTGTCATATGGTAATCTAAGTTTGATCTCAGCTCTCATAAAACTTGTGTTGAAACGAACACAACAGAAACATTATGTTCATCACTGAATTGCTACATTGTTTCATTATTATTTTCTCATTAGTAACGGAAACTTTAATCGGTAAGACCATTTTAATAAGAATAGTACTCGTATCATTATCTCAATTATCATCATAGATAAGTATTTACAATATAACACACAATACAAATGTTACAAATCAAAAAATTAACTGACCTGCCATGTTTTTCAATCCAAGCGTTGCCGGTTGATTGTCTCGCACATCACAATGCTGGAAAGTTATCCATTCAGAATCCAGTCCTTCCATAATTCCACTCTCATGGAAACTCAAGATTTTCAGGGATATTTTCTGCGCTAGAGGGCTCCCTTTCCTTGCACCAATTCCAAATCCAGATCGACTGAATAGCTCCCCAACAGTGACTAGTTTACAGTCTTTAGCTGCTTCATAGTCAAGGACCGCTGAATCCCATATGAAAGCATCCAAGTCCCTGTACGTTGCAAAGTAACAACAAATTCTTCACTAGGCCATAACAAAAATGCTTATCATAATAAGTTTTCCTAATTTCCATTAAAATTGAACTTCATTTTGATTTTTCATGAGAATTGAATTATTAGAATTGAGAATTCTGTTAGCAAGTTTTTAAAGAGTTTTCAAAACATCTTTTAATGCTAGTATGGCTATATTAGCATGAGGATAATTTAAATTAACTCATCCTTCTTTTAATGCTAGTATGGCTATATCAGCATCAGGATAATTTAAATTAACTCATCTTTCTTTTAATGCTAGTATGGCAATATTAGCATCAGGATAATTTAAATTAACTCATCTTTCTTTTAATGCTAGTATGGCAATATTAGCATCAGGATAATTTAAATTAATTCATCCTTCTTTTAATGA